TAAATGTCTCTTCCCCTCCTCTGCAGTGGTCTAAGGTCAAGTAAAATCATCACATCTATACACCGGACATAAACGTGAGGACACTGAGGAACATTCCAATGTGCTGCAGAGGAGCAGTGCCTTGATAGCTGGCCACCTCCAAACTTTGAGTGAGTAAACCTTTGTTATTTTTTAACCTAGGCACAAACGTGCACTTAACCCTTACAGTGTGGGGGTAGCCCCACTGCAAGGGTCAATAAACAAAATCCTGGGGTTCTGCTTTAAGAGTAAGAAAGACAGATGTTCCTAAACCACCTTTCATATACTAAGCTCTTAAGCTACAGGATCCAACTATTATTGCTTGAACTACCGTATATACTCGAGTATAAGCCGAGATTTTCAGCCCATTTTTTGGGGTGAAAAGTGACCCCCCTCGGCTTATACTCGAGTCAGCGCCAGGTGTCATCTTACTTACCTCGCCGAGCGTCGCGTCACTGCTGCTCCGGTGTGCGGAGCTCCGAGCGGGGTCATCTGGCAGTCTCCGGGTCCTAATTTAGGTGGCCGGAGACTGCCAGATGATTATACTAACATGAATGTATTAAATGATCTGTATGTAGCCCTGTACTATGGATCATTTAACCCATTCATGTTAGCAGAGGATCATTGTAAATGTATTGTTGCAGGCACTCTATATGTACATGTACTATATACTACATATAGAGTGCACTGAACAATAGATTTACAATTATCCTCTGCTAATATGAATGGGTTAAATGATCCGTAGTACATGATATGTAGCCCTGTACCCCCTTTTCCACTTACAGAGCTAGGTTATTTTTCTTTTAAATAAATATTAATGTAATTTTATTGGTATCTATCTACCAGTAGCTGCCTCATTTCCTACCCTCGGCTTATATTCGGGCCAATACTTTTTCCCAGTTTTTTTTGGTCAAATTAGGTACCTCGGCTTATATTCGGGACGGCTTATACTCGAGTATATACGGTAACTGAATTTTACAATATTGTGGAAATATATCAAGGGATGGGCACCTATTATTTGTATGAGAGGCAGAATTATAAATAGAAAAAAATAGCTAGCTGCATTCTATTATATATCTCCAGCTGCGTCACTGTATCAGAACATAAAAACCTTTATGTTCATTCCTTTTCCTGACTACATTAATATAACGTTCCCACAAAGGTTTCGAGGTTCCCATAAGTGTCTCTTATATATATGATTTATCGTCACAAACCATGAAGGCTAATGCAAGCCATATAAGTATGCATCATTTATTCACTTCAACATTTCAGTCATGTTTACTGTACATGCTCTTTCTGTGGCGCCACACATGTCTCCATTTAATATGGATTACAACCAGAAAAATGATTGAAAATACGTCTGTTTTAATTCAAACTGAACTCCTGGCACAAAAACGTTCAATCATAGTCCTTAATAGACACAAATTCTGTCTAGCATCCTTTGATCAGAGAATTTTTTAGGCAAACAGTGACAGCAGCCAATCAACTGCCATCAGTGAACGGGTATTCTGACATCAGCACACCTACCAGTGTCAGAATACAATAGGCCAGTTGGAGATTTGTCCATCCACGCTGTTTAACATGAATGGAGGAATCTGTAATATTTTTTTTTTTGTTCAGCCCGCAGGTTGAATTTTAAAAATAAAACTGTGTATGGCCAGCTTTAGGATGGCAGGTGGAACTGGCTGCTTTGAGGCACTTTAAACAGCTCATTGTAGCTTAGCTTTATTTAGGACTATTCAAAGGGTATAGCCACCGCTATGATGAGGCACAGAGATATTTTGCATCTTATGTACAACTGTAAATCAATGTTGCGATACTTCGTTTTCCGATGCAGGTGATCGAACTGTGGGTGGGAGGTGCGTTTGGGTTGCCATTACGGAAACTGGAGTTGATCCTCAACCTGGGGTCCAGCGTGGGCTGTGGTGCTGTGATGGAGCTTCATCCATATGTGTATTGCTTGTAAAGCTCCCGTGCGCACCCGTAGAAGTGCTGGAAGTCAGAATGTGATGAGCTGTAAGCAATGCACATATGGATGAAGCTCCCTCGCGGCCATAGCTCCAGCCCACCGCACCCCACCTCAAATCGACACCGGGCATCATAATTTTGAATGGCTGCTCGGTGCGAGAACTGACAGTGCTTCTCTAGGATCCTCTCACCTAGAAAATTGGAAGGCATGTGGCGACCCACTGGACATGGGGCCGCGACCCACTTTTGGGTCACGACCCACCAGTTGAGAACCAAGTCTTTAAATTGTTTTTTTATGAACCTGCTGTGCTGTGGGAAACATTATATGGCACTAACAATTTACTGTGTATATTTTTAGGCTGCTGCTTCCAGCTTAAAATGTAAGGCTAAAGCTAGATATTCAGAAGCTTAATGCATAAGTATGCAAGAACATTACACATAAGTAAAGTTGAAGACACCAATTAATGCAGTTTTGCATTCCTAAACACACACGCACACACACTTTTTTCCCCCTTTTAAATGCAGGGAATCTGGCCATACACTAGTAGATTTCAGAACGACAGATCTTTCTTTACCAACCAAATGTCTTTCTTTACCACGCGATAATGCCATCAGACAATTGACGAATGTCAAACAAAATTTTGTTTCATTTTAACATTCCATTTTACAATGAATGCACTTTCCCCAAACCACATTCACTGTTAGGATTTAGTTCGAGAAACATTTTCTATCCCGCTCCTTCAAATGTTTTCATCACTACGATTGAAATCGGTCATCAGTTTGACCCCTTCAACTAATAGAAAGTCAAATTAAATTTTGTTCTGAAATCTACTAGTGCAGGGCTCAAAAGTGGAAATTCAGTCAGGCACGGGATCACGGATCGCGTATCTGACTTATGAGAGCAGCCACTTCTTGCTGCCCTGTCCTGGCTCCGTTCCTTCTATGCGGGGGCAGAGAACAGGGGAGAGGGTATTATTTTATATGTGGGGATGTGGAGGGCAGCAATGTTTACATTGTTTTATGTTAATATTGTTGTTGTTAATATTTATTTTTGTAACTTTATTTTGCCTTTAATATTTAAAAGTGTAATTTCATGAGATAATTTAAGAGGGTGGGTTTAGGGGTGGCGAGCAACTCTTAAGGCCTGGCTAGTAGCTCAGGACTTGAAATTTTGAGCCCTGTACTAGTGTATGGCCAGTTTAAGTAAATAATTTGATTTGTAGTTCCCTCCAAAACAATGGCAGGGGGAGAAGCAGCACAAGAAGCCAGTCAGTTGTGCTGCACGGGTCATGTCTTAACAAGGAACATGATGATAGAAGGAGAAATCAGAGTGACAGAGAAATGAGCTCATCAACTCAACTTCTCATTTCACTGTCCAGTCACAGACTGAGGGAGGGACAAGACCTTGAAGTGTTACCTAAATGCTACAAAGTAAAATCAGGTCTCCTGCCCTTTTCACAAATCTTTTGGCAGGTAAAAAGCCCCATGCTGTGTGTTTCATTTGTGTATTTAGCTACTTGCCTGGAATTCAGCTGTATTTATGTGGATTCACTGCCGTTTACCCCAAGAAATTATAATTGTGTGTGTATATATATATATATATATATGTATGCACACACACACACACACACACACACACACACATATATATATACATACATACATATACAGGGCTTGAAAAATTTGACGGTGTCTTAACAGTCAGTCAAAAATTTCACCAGCCAGCATGACCGGACTATAGCCTTGCAATTTATGTTAAAAAATTTTGGGGACAGATAGAGCTTTTTTTTGTGACCCCACGGGGGGTTATTTTATTTTGTACAATATAATGAAAAAAGTACCATAAATGTAAAAAAAAAGTTTTTAATAAAACATAAAAGTTGGGGTCACGTCGGGTAAACAGACACCAAACATGTCAAGCTTTACAATTGCGTGCGCCCGCAAAATCGCAAAAAACGCCCATAGGCGACGATTAAAATGCTTTTACTGCTCATCAGTTTAGTGTTATCAGTGATTAATGGCTCTAAAATTATTGCTCTCACTTCGACGTTTGCGGCGATATGTAACATGTGCAGCACAATAGGCACAATCGTCGTTTTCGCACGTAGGCGCACCCGACGCATATCTGCGTGTGTATGTGGGGGGCGGGGACTTAAAAAAATGTTTTCTTTTTTAATTTTTTTATGCTTTATTTTTATGATTCTTTAATTTTTGTATTACTTTTTTTTTTTTTACACACAACTTTATTGCTAGTACATGGGGGG